GTTAGAGATTGAACTAACAGATTCTGCAGAGTGGGAGAATAGAGATAGAATGATGAAATGATGAGTCCCTATGTCCTCCAGCAGTCTAAGCCTATAGCAGCATAACAGCATCATAGAGATATTTTTCTCTTTGATAGTTGCTTCAGCTCATTCTGCTGACAGAAAGCAATCAGGCTGAACTTTGGACTTGGTATATCGCTGTATTTGGTTTTCAAACATGACGTAACATGTTTGGTGTCAGTTAAACAAACCGTACTGACTTTGCAGATGGAGGAGGCTTTTTCTTGGCAGCCCTACTAATTGATGTATTGTAGCTGAGGTGATATATTGTGACCTGCTGACTGCGCTCTGTCAGACACGGCACTCAAGTTCTAGTAGTGGATTTCCTTGGAGCTTCTCTCAGATTGATGGGAGGCAACATTTGCTTATTTTAACTTATTTATTCTCCTTAGTGATGTATTAAAGGTCAAATATAACCTGGATACTAAACTAACAGCCAGACTAACTGGATGCTTTTTTGCCTTCTGACCTCCATCAAGTGTTTACTTAGTTTTTTCCGATGACCGTACAAAGAGACAATTACATATTCTGTGTTTTCAGTATGAGGTAAAGTTAGGACACCCAACTCACTGTTAACTAAAGTTTTGCCCTTTCAGTAAGACAATTCAGTCTCTAATGTCTGGGGAAGGTTTGTCTCTTTTGTCTGAAGTGATTTTCTAACATAAATAATGCATTAAATAAATTAAAGTCAGTTTCTGCAAAATGGATTATTTAGTGATTATATTTGAATTTCGTAAAGCTCCTGAAACACCTTGATGATTTAGACCAGCTTATGCCTGACGTACAGAAAATCTGGCAAAACCGCTGGCATACTTTGGATAAATTATGGGTAAGTTTTCTATAAGTTATAAGCATGCTGAAACACGTCGACATACAGCGAGTACATCTAGAAATTTTGAGCTTGCTCCAAATTTCCCAACAAATGCCAGCGTCTGCCATACGTGGGCCAGAAGTTTCAGGTCAGTTATCTGATGGTTGACATACGTTAAGTGCAAGTTACTCATAAGTTGTGGCGTCTAGCTTATCGAAAACCCAGTTATGCCATTTTAGTCCAATAAGAGACGTTAAAAAGGACGTTACAAACCCAGTTTTCAACGTCTTTTCAATGATCTGAAAATTACAGCTTTTTACCTTTGACTTTCCAATCAAACGCAGACATTGATTGGACATAAATCACTTCCTCTTTTCAACCAAATTTTGCCAGGTGGGTACCCAGAGAGAACCCATGCATGGACGGGGAGAACATACAAACTCCATGCAGAAAGTCCCCGGGCGGGAAAACAACAACACTGCTACAAGCTGCATGACCTTTACAAACTGATGCACCGCCCCCAAGGTTTAGAGCGTTTTACAGATCCTCTATTTTCTCTGAGGACAAAGCAAAGCTGGAACCTTGAAATTGATCATCCAATTTATTTAGATTGAAATATTGTGAAGCAGCCTATCAAGTCCATCCAGTCAGTCGAGTGGTGTCTCTAGATGCATCCCTGACACATGATCTCCTTTCTGTTCCTCCTCTGGGAGGAAAGGAATCTGTGTGTAATGTGCCATGGCAGTTGGCCACAGCCTTGGCAGTCACCTCTGCTTCTGTTTTAAAGTTTTCCATTGCAGCATTACAGTTGATTTTACTCCTTATCAAACTTGAACTTCAGGATAGGCATGTTTTTGCAGTTCCAGAACATCCACAGATCACAGTGACTAATCCACCCTTGTAATCCCAGAATCTATGGATAACCAGCTATACAAAGTCAAGAATCTATTAGCAGTTTAAGGTATTTAGGGTTTAACTGATAAAATTACATCATTACATTACATCTTATGATACTGATTGAATTATTTGTTTTCAACCTACTGCTGGGTGTGGGTTTGCTCATGGAAACTTGTTTTTCCTGTGTTTTTGATTCTATCTTCACATTTTCTAACAACAGCAAACAGGACAAAGTGTTACAATAAAGCATGAAAGGTGCAGCAGCCTGTCACCTCTGTCATATGTTTTTGTTGCACATCCAGAAACTAAAAAACTGAAGTGTAAAGGTTTGTCTTCATTCCTTTTTAAGGTGTGTTGCATTTACCTAACTTGATTACAGTGATTTTTCCAGGGAACTGAGTGACCAGGTCCGTCAGAGGCTGATGAACACAAAGACAGAAGACATGAGGTAAGAAAACATGGAGAGTTAGTGACACACAGATTATGTGACTCATTGTTCTGATCATCTCTGTCCAATGAGTCTTATTGATTCAAACTCCTTCACACTTGCCCACTTCCTCATTTTTCTCGAACTGCTGTGTTTTGACTCTGCAGAACAATCAACTTTTTTTTTTTTCCTGACAGGCAGTCCTTAAATGTGACACAGGAATGATAGAGTAGAGAAAAAAGCAATCAGTTAAAGACACCATGTTAACTCTTTTTTTATCACCCTGACCACAGATGTCCTCCTACTGGCTCACTAGTAGCAGCCTTTCAAAATGGCCCCTTCCCAGTCAAAAGCCAGCCGAATGGCAGCGAAATCCCATCCAACTTCCTGGAGTGACACCCTCTTGGTTATTTTTTTTACTCTGACTCCACCCTTTAACGGAATTACAGGGTATGACCACGAGATGGCGCTTCTTTTTAGATCTTAAAGTCCACAAATCGACAGAATATTTTAGTACAAAGATTGAAAAGGAATTGTAGGGGACCAGTCAAGGACCAGCCAAGGACTAGCCAAGGATTAGCAAGGACTAGCCAAGAACCAGCCAAGGACCAGCCAAGGATTAGCCAAAGACCAGCCATGGACCAGCCAAGGACCAGTTAAGGACCAGCCAAGGATTAGCCAAAGACCAGCAATGGACCAGCCAAGGACCAGTTAAGGACCAGCCAAGGATTAGCAAGGACAAGCCAAGGACCAGCCAAGGATTAGCCAAAGACCAGCAATGGACCAGCCAAGGACCAGTTAAGGACCAGCCAAGGGTCCATCAGGGAAAGTGGGCAAATTCTGAATGGCTACTACTGTAATACCCCTTTCCTAATGCCCGAAAACCTGTTTAAACCCGGA